ATCTAACGAACCGCTGATTAACAAATTATGGAATTGTATTGGATCCATAGCTATATCAAGATCAACATTTGTAGTTAACGCATTAGGACCAAGCACAAAATCACTAATGTTTTCAGGTGGAATTTCAATTTGAAGTTGGTGTGTATAATCTACATTGTATCGATTGGAGATGTCAAAAAAGCTAAACGGAGTTTGAATTGGTGAATCAGTCAAGTTGCTGCTTCCAATGACAGTATTGTTATTGTTAATGTCGTAAGTATCATGCGAAGATGTGAACGAATATGAAGATGTTAGCGATGTACTTTGAAAAGATGAGGAGGGCATCAATCCATTATAAAAACCCAAAGTTGATGGATTATTATTATTATTTCCGTCAATACCAACACCTTCATGATAGGGTAATTCTTTTATGATATCATTAAATTTGACATCATTAGATTTGATCAATGGTTTTTTTCTAGGCTTTCTAGTTTTCTTAGCTCCATTGTTTGTATTTTTTTTTAGGGATTTCCCCTGTCCATTAAGCGTATCTTGGGGACGGCCACACGAAACTTTCGGCTGAATACGAATACACTCACGACCCTTTTCTTTACAGTTTTGACATGAAGGCCTTTGGTCATCGCACCTTATATGACGTTTCTTACAACGATAACAAGCGGTTGTTATATAAGTTCTTTCAATTTCATCCCCTTCATCTGAATTTTTTATTATATCAATCACTTCACTGATCGTTGGTGGAATACCAAGACAAGCAGTTGTTAGTCCTTCATTTACATTTTTTGTATCGAGCATGATGGCCAAATTATCCGTTTGATGATTCATTTGTATCTTTTTGTTTGTTCTTTAATTAGATAATTCGAGGTTTTAATTGAAAATTTGGTTTTATTTTTATTTTAGGGTTTTTTTGTTTTTTTAATTAATAGAGAAATGAAATAAATGAAAGCGAGAATTTATATTAATATTAATTCGCAGATCGTAGATATTTAGGGGATTCTATTTGTAACACAATTTCTTGTTCGAACGATTCATTTTATCAAATTGAGTTTCCAAAAAGGATTTTTTGCCTTTTTTTTAGTTGTACAGTTTACTATGTTGACCCAGATTGGTATGTTGAATATGTTAGCAAATCTCCATAGAATTAGGTTTTCCATTTATTCTAATCAATCGAATAATTTAATTTCTCTAAAGTTTTGATTCTATGATTTGATTTCTATTTTTACACAATCTCATTTAGCGATATTTGTATTTGTCAAGCATCTGTAATGAAATTCTAGAAAGCCACAAAATATTATTGTTATTAAATATTTAAGTATTAATTATTATCGGGATTAAATAAAGAATCATTATGTAATTCATTTAATTCATGATTGTTAAAATTTCTTTTTTATAGAAATGATTTTACTTAATTAATAAAAATCTATATTAATATTCGGTTATTTTAAAAAATGGATCCGCTTCCGATCATCAGCGTCAGCAACAGCTGCAGATTAAACTACTAGCCGGTACAGCCAATTAGTCGAACATCATTATATATACCTACAGCTATTGAATAATAATCAAATATCATATTCACAACAATTTGGACAAAGTTCACAATTAACAAATTATCAATGTCCAGATACATACATATTACAACAGCAAAAGATAAACAAGCTGATCCGATTCAACATCGTCAACAAAAGATAATGTGAACGATCGTTTTTATCTCATGTAATTTGTCTCGTAAAGTACATCTAAGGCGTGAAATAAAAGAGGACTCTGATTTTTGCAACAAGTGTATTGGAACTAACGAAATATGCAAATGAGGTTGTAAACATGGTAGCAACTACAAACCAAAGTTAAAAATAATATTTTTATATTTCTTTGTTTCAAATAATTATTTATTTCTTTAATTAATAGGAAAATGAAACAGAAAATCGTGGTATTAGCAAATGGTCATGATTTATGTAAAGGTATTTCTAGTCTTTTGAATCCAGAAATTGGAGGTTTGCAAGTCAATGAAATACAATCACAAAATAAAAATAAAAGTAGCATTTCCGTAAATCTAAGTAATGTCAACAGTTGTCATAACAACAACAATTTACTTACTATTTTATTGAAAAAGTAAGTGTCTTTGGAATTGACACCTTTTCTACTTATCTAAGAAATGATGTTAATTTAAATTAAAGAAAAAACTTTCTACATAACTTCATTCTAAATTTAGATAATGAAAAGCTACATTAGTGTTAGAGTTCATGTATTCAAGCAATAGATATCTCAAGCGTAATTAAGCTTTTTTTTATTAGCATTCAAAATATAAATTAACAAGCTAATTGAATGTAAAGCTCCGAACGGTTCGGTTTCGGTTTCGGTTTGTATGCAAGAAAATCGGTTTGGTTTTGGTCTATAAACCGAAAGTTCGGTTCGGTTCGGTTTCGGTTTACCCATAAACCGGTTCGAACCGAACCGTTAGGAGCTTTAATTGAATGTTATTAAAATAAATAATCATAAAGTAGCACTATTGCATAGATAAGGAGAAAAGTGATTTTATGAATTAAGAGGATAATCGAATAAAATTTACTATGCTTTTTATGTGATAATATATACGTAAAGGGGGGGGTTTTTTTTGAATAAAATAAAAAAAGAAATAAAATTTTTTAAAAGTGATTTTTTAGTTTTTTATTGATGATGATAATAAGGAGGACCCTGCTCTCCAATAAATGGTTGTACAACTTGAGATACATCAATAGGATGAGCATAGAGTTGGTAATTACCAAAATTTGTACTTAAAATAGGTGCTGTTTCAAGTAATTCATATATTGTTCATTCATTTGTGTAGAACTATTGAATGAATCCAACGAACCACGCAATGGAATTGTATTGGATCCACAGCTATCTCAAGATCAACATTTGTAGTTAACGCATTAGGACCAAGCACAAGATTATGTAGATTAAATCAAATTGAAATTTTCTTCGTGATTAATTCAATTAAATCAATGTCAGTTACTTTTTGTTAATATATAAAGTATAAAGTATAAAGTAAAATTGTTACAAAATTTTACGAATTTTGTGGAATTTGTTTAGTTTAGAACTAAGAAAAATCCAGGATTTAATTTTTATTATTTGTTTGAAAATTTCAGAAAGAAAAGAGAAAAACAGCCTTTGATTATCATGAAGCAACATAGCAAAACCGTCATTTTTAATTTTTTTGGTGTAACATTTTGATTTTACCCAATACTAATGCAGATGGTTTAGATTACTGTAGCAAGTTTTTTAATCGTAAATAATTGTTTGGTTTAGATTGTTAACTAATTAGTAAAAATGTCTTCTTATATCTAGCACAAAAACTAGTCTTGTCAGTGTGGACTCTTGAATTAAAAAAAAAATTATTATTATATTTGTATTTTTAATTTAAATTGTGCACAAAAAAAAATCAAAAAAACTAAACATATTATATTTTTCGAATTTTCGTTCTTTTGCTCATTTGTGAACGTGTTTCATGTATGTGTAAGATAAAAACTTGAATATTGGGTTAATATTAACTCGATTTAATAATACCAAAGTGGTAGAATAAAGTGTTTATTTAATTAAAGCTAATCAAATTTGGTTGATCGTAGCTGCATTTAATTTGATTTCTCGTGTGTGTATGCTGGTTGTAAATCTGCTTTATTGTTGAAGATGGATACTCAAGTTATAAATACTATCACTAAATGGCAACAATAAATATAATAATTATTTATTATGATCAGATTGCCACGAAAACCAAGGAAACATTCTCTGGCGAGGTGGAGTATCGGTTAAATGAAATAGAATTCAACTGTTTGGAATTAATAGATCATCTAACATTTATTCCATGATGTATATTCGTTTATGGGTCCTTTTTCTTTCGATACAGTAACTTTTTTATTGCAAATGGCTAATTAGATGATATCTTCCCTCTCCCTCTCATATTATCTATTAGTTGAAAATGAAGATAGAAAAACATAGTGAAGATCTCTATGGTATATCAAAAAGATTTAATTTAATGGCAGATTACATATGCAATTTCATGTTTCTGAGTGGTTGTGCATCAGTAAGAAGCTATTATTGAGTGTGGTAGACTTTTTAAACCCAAGAAATTCATCATCATCATCAGATGCCTTTGGCATTATCTTCTTTGTCAACTTCCTCTCCTCAAACACACATTTGATATTATTCTCCTCCTCCTTTGTTCATCAACAGCAATAACAAAAGCAAATTAATTTAATCTTTTCTAAAATTTGTATATTTTATCTCATTTTGCGGAATGTTACACTGATCCATTACTATTTTAATGTTATCCGTAATTCGGAATAATTGGAAAAGGAATATAAATGTTTCTAATACTAACAAGTTTGGACTTGTTCCTTCATTCAAACGAATAATTGTTCACAAACAACACTATTTGGAATGTAATTTTTTTTTATTTCTTAATAAACGTTCCGGTCTTGGGCAAATTCCTATTTACTCCAAATTTTTGCGACACATTACCTAATTTAAAATTTTTATTTTATGTACAAAAATGATTTACTGTCCCTGTTTGCTAATTTTATAATATTAATTACCCCTTTCCCTTTTCTTATAATTATTATTATGCAGTTGTCCGCTATAATAATAATTTTTATTGGTCAATCGCGTGATATTTTTTATGTAAAACTATGTAGGAATTATAGATTGGCGTATAAATTGTTTTTTGTAGTTGTCTAAAGTCAAAATAGCATGTCTAAATGTCCTAAATTAATATAAACGATAATAATAATAATGATGATCCACTTTAAAAATCACATGGGATATACACAAAATCAGTAAATTATCCAATAAAAATTCAATTTCAATATTTATATTTTAGACAATGTCTAATACTAATAATTTAGTTTAGGCGCCCATCTATAGCAGTAATGAAGGGTTCCTTTTATATCACCACCATTTATCAATCTTTTATATATTAATATAATCATCATTATTTGCTACTTACATATAATGAATAACTGCTTATTATATATTCAGTCTCCTA